ATTTGGTGGACATAAGGGGAGGATTTGAGGAAGATCTCAAATTGCCTTGGTAGTAAAAAAAAGTGTGCGAGATTACCACACTGGAAATAACTTTTAATGACATTTAATATGTTCGATTAAAAAATATGGACATTGCCGAGTACGTGGGTGTGAAATGACTGATTTTTTGATGTGTCAAGTCATAAAACAGTCTGCCATCTCACTGGTCACATCACACCTCAAAATCCCGTGTCACACAGAGAACGTTGAGCCACCCGGACGGTAGTCACGACTGCGGTCCACCTGTCCGATGGGGTTAAAGTTCTTTGGAGGAGGTGCGAATGAGCAGCCAGTAGGTGGGACACGATTCACACTCCTCAACTGCTTCGTTCTTCACTATTTTACCGTCTTTTTACTTCAATTGGTGACTTTTATGAGGCAGCAGCGATTCTAATTTAGTAATGACGGCTGCTTCGATGATTATAGCAGTAGAAGAGACTTACCTCAAGTCACACAACTGCTTTACAATGAAAGGAAAGTGAACATGTGCTTCTCCACTCTATTGTTCCTCCAATCCAGTAGCACCGATTGTTTGTAGAGAAAATAGACCCGCATTTTGCATTCACTTGACGAATTACAGCATGACAATTTCCAGAACATTGTATTCAAAAAAAAAAGATGACAAACTAGTGGTTTTATAGAGGTGGAGAAAAATTTTGTGACACTTCAGCAGTCTTGTCAAATGAACTCCTCACTGGGATGATGCAAAGCGTGCACACCAAAGTGTGCCATTGCTGTGGAAAAGTCACCCCAGAGGCCTCCGGAGATGCGATTCTTGTTTTCGTGATTGTCACAACCAGGCAACCTGGCAGACACAATGTTAATAAAATTCAAACTGCAAGGAATTTTTCAGAGGTGGGCAACTCACTGTACTTTCAGATGGTGTTAAGGCATCGCCTTGGGTTGGGAGTTTGCGATTTCCAAATTGTTCTAGGCCACCCTATATCTATGAAGAATTAAGTTTCTTGATTTTTTTTCTACAAATTTTGTTGGTTTCCCAGGTCTTCGTGGACTCATGTTGGCAGTGATGTTGGCTGCTCTCATGTCCGATCTCACATCCATTTTCAATTCCTCCAGCACCTTATTCACCGTCGACATCTACACCTGCTTCCGACGCAAGGCTGGCAATCGAGAACTTATGATTGTGGGACGGTAGGTGGTAGGATTGTTCACCAAAAAAATTCTAGACTTTTTGTACTGGTAATGGTTGGCTTGAGCATACTTTGGGTGCCAGTAATTCAAACTATGCAAGGTGGTCAACTCTACATCTACATACAATCTGTCTCGGGATTTTTGTCTCCACCAATTGCAGCGGTGTATGTTACGGCGTTGCTGTTGAAGAGAAATAA